CCCCCCGCCTACCCCCATCACCACGCAGACAGTAGCCAAGCTGGGCAACGACGTTTGACATTAACCCCTTGGTCAACATTTGATTCCCGGTCCCTGCCTGTCCCTGAGGCTTTGCTTCACCTCCTACAAATGGGGCTGGGGGTGCAGAGTGCGGTGTCCAGCTGGTGAAAGAGGGCAGCAAGGAAGAGCCAGCAGGCCCTGAGGTCCCGCCAACCGGACCCCAGGCAGTAGGCAAGCAGAGAGTTTGTAGGTGGCCTGTGAAGGCTGGTCGGTGTTTCGTTTCTGAGTAGCAGAGGGTGGTGCCTCCTTCACACCTGGGGTGGGCAGAGGTGGAGGGCAGCCATGTCAGTTACCTGCCTTCCACGGAGTCACGTTCCTTCCTCCCTCTGGTTGGTCCAGTGTCACTGTTCATGGGATGGGTTCCTCCCTGGGTTTGCTTGAGTGAGGGGGCTGGAGGCGCTTGTATCTCATGGAATCCACCTACAAGCCCCACCCATCCAAACCTTTCCTGCTCACCTTCCTGTCCAGGTGTGGGTGGGAGTGCTTTACCAATGCAAGAATCCCTCATCTAGAACCTTTCCCCGACCCTGGACAGTGGCCTCCTCTAGCACACTTCTGCAGGGGCTCCATGACTTTGGGGACACCAAATGCTGGGGGACAGAATTCCTACTGAGTCTCGGCCATCCCCTGCAAGCTCTGGGCTCAGTGTCCAAATGCCAGAGGCCCCTGGCTGAAGAGCTTCTCTTGTTCAGGGATGTGGTTCTCTACAAAGCCTGCGGGATGTGCTTTGAGTGACTGGGCTTCTCACCGGGGGGTGGGGGTGCTGACTGCCGACAGCTCCAGAGCGAGCCAGTCGGGCACTGAGAACAGAGAGCCACAGGGCAAAGCCTCCTCCCAGATACCTCGTCGGTTCTCTGCCCCACACGGCCCTCCTCCAGCCCAGAGCTGGAAACTCAGGTTCTCACGGGCTGCCCAGCCTGGAAGAGCCAGAACATGAGAGAAACAGCCCTTCAAGAAGCCTCGTCATTCCCTCTGAGTGCGGTGCCTACACTCATCACCTGCCACATGGGTCACATGGGCCACGGCCACCAGGAAATCCCACGGTCATCATGCTCATATCCCACCTGCCACCCACAGACCACACATTTAAAGGAGAAATGTCATAGCTCTTTAGGTCCTGAGAAAACATAGGACAAAGGTATCATTGGCTAAACTGTGTCCCCCCGAAAAGATCTGTCAAAGTCCTAACGTCCAGCACCTGTGAATGTGGTCTGATTTACAAATAGGGTGATTGCAGAGGGAATGAGTTAAGATGAGCTCATACTGGAGTGGGGGTGTGGGGTTAATCCAATGTGACTGGTGTCCTTGTAAGAAGAGGAGAGACACGGGGAGGAGATGGTCACGTGAAGTCACAGGGGAGAAGCCACTTGACCACAGAGGCAGAAATTAGAGTGATGTATCTACAAGCCAAGGGATGCCAAGAACTGCCAGCAAACCACCAGGAGCCAGGAAGAGGCAAGGAAGGATTCTACCCTACAGGTTGCAGAGGGAGCACGGCCCTGCCGACACCTTGATCTCAGACTGCCAGCCCCCAGAACTGTGAGAGAACCAGCTTCTGTTACTTAAGCTGCCCGGTCTGTGGTCCTTGGTTACGGCTGTGCAGAAGAGCAGAGTATTGAATACATTTTGCTGCCTCCCTCTCCCCCCGCTCAGAAAATACCCTCCTCTGAGCACGTGTCCTTCATTGGTCTTGACTCAGGCTGTGCCTGCATGAGACAAGGTCACGTGGCTCATTCAACTCCAAAGATGTTTCCAATCACCCAGATGTTTAGCCTGATATAGACTAAACAACAGGATGCTTGGCCAGACTCGTCCCACTTAAATCCTAATGTTTTGGCATCTCGGTCATCGCTGCAGGCGAGGCATCTACCATTGAAGAAACCCACGTCCCTTGTTGGGATCAGATGCCGCCCCTGTGGTTGAGCAGAGCAGCCAGAATCTTCTGTCTTCAAGCTTTGCCTCGACCCCGCCAGGGTTGAATTTCTGTCTGCTAGGCATGAGGCAGCACACACCTTGGCCTGGGACACAATTCCAACGTCAGGTGCTGCTTTTTGTTCTAATTCCTGATCATAAAATGAATCTGTGAATCATTTTCCACAACAGTTTGGCAACAAAAAAGTCTAGCAAAAAAGATGGGCTCCCTTGACTGTCTGGACCCCAAGCCTAGACAGGAATTCAACATGCCCAGTTTGACTCTCCTGAAACTTGCTGGTGGGTTGACTTTAATTCTGATTTTAACTGGTTGGTCTGTGTTGATCAGCAGCCTGGCTGTAGGTCAGTGCTGTCAAGGGAAATGACCCAGAGCAGCAGAGCAGGCCACACTGCAGTACCAACAGCTGAAACTTCAGAAAGACTAGAAGTCTGGGTTGTAAAGGTTTTCAGGGCTGTCCCGGCCCTGGTACCCACGGGTAGACCAGTGGAGGAAATGGGTACATCCATACTTAGATCTACTTAACTTCAGGTCCTTGGGAGAATACAAATTCCAGAGACCCAGATCAACCCTGCGCACTGCTGGTGGGAAGGTAAGTTGAGGCAATCTGTATAGAAAACAGTAATGGAGGTTCCTCCAAAAATTTTAAATAGAACTATCATATGATCCAGCAGTTCCACGTCTGGGTATCTATCTGAAAGAAATGAAATCTGTCTCGAAGAGATATCTGCACCCCCATGTTCATTGTAGCATTTCGTACAGTATCCAAGAGATGGAAACAACCTAAGTGCCCACTGATGGATGAGTGGATAAAGAAAATGTGGTATATTTGTAAACAGTTAAATATCATTCAGCCATAAAAAGGAAGGAAATCCTGCCAGCGCAATGACACGGATAGACAGTGAGGACATGATGCTAAGTGAAATGAGTCAGAGAGAGAAAGACAAATACTATATGATTTCACTTACATGTGGAATCTTAAAAAAAAAAAAAAAAAAACTCATAGTAACAGAACAAATCGATGGTTGTCAGAGGTGTGGGTGGGGAAAATGGGTGAAGGGATTCCAAAGGTACAAACTTCCAGTGATAAGATAAATGAATTCTGGGGAGGTAATGTACAGCATGGTGACTATAAAGTCTAAGATTTCTTTAAAAAGAGAGAGAGAGGGAGTCAGATCAAAATCTGAAGACATACAAATCCTTTAGACAGTGAGAACACAAACACATTTAAACTTCTAGGAAACTATTTGACGCTTTTTGCCACCCCTTAATTTAGATGACACTTACTCCAAGTTTATGTTCATGTGTTTAATGCCCCGTAAAACTAACCCTTTTGCTCTGGTCAACACACGGATGGTTTTATAAACGAACCAGCATCTCAGAAACCTCAGTTGGTGGGATTTTTTTCTGCCTCCGATAATTTATTCACTAACCACGTATGTGTTTTATTTAAAAAAATAAATAAAATTCTGCAGGTCTCCAATAACACTGCCAGGAGCCTCCCCATCACACCAATCCCCCTGGACTCAGATGACCTAAGTAATTTGGGCTGCACTCGTGGGCTCATAATAGAGCACAAATGTCCAGTCAAAGGCCACCGCTGAGAATGGGAGTGGACAGCACTGGAGGATTCCATCACCCTGGACCGTCTCAAACTTGACATTTAATCTATGGAAATAAACCTCTTTGTGGGTGTCCAAATGGGCTCATAAATGTCGCCACACACTGTACAATGCCACAACATTTCCAAGGTCGAGACGAGGCTGGTGAACCTGGGTTCACGATGCTGAAATACATCACAGCAATGAACGTCCAAACGGGCCTCGGTCTAAATGAGTGACCTCAGAAATGAAGCAAAACGTAATCGGGGGCTTCCCTGATGTTGCAGTGGTTGGGAGTTCGCCTGCCGATGCAGGGGACACGGGTTCGTGCCCCAGTCCGGGAAGATCCCACATGCCGTGGAGTGGCTGGGCCCGTGAGCTATGGCCGCTGAGCCTACGCGTCTGGAGCACATCTCAGTCTAAGACAAAGTAGAAACTCCGGTGCTTGAATTTCAAGAAAATGACATGACCGAATGCAATAAAACTAGCGGAGAATACAACTCTTGCTCTTAAATGTTCAAACACAGCCAGGTACCCACCCAATGGACCCTGGACTGAGGGAACCCCCTGTCCAACAGCTCAGGAGGCCTAAATCCAACAGCACACAAGGAACTGACTCCTGCTGGTGGTCATGTGAACAAGCCCAGAAGCCAGTCCTTCCCAGAAGAGCCTTGCGATGGTCCCAGCCTGGGAGAGACCCCGACACAGAGGACCCAGCTAGGCTGCACCTGGGCTCCTGACCCACAGAAGCTGGGAGATCACAAATGCTGTTTTAAGCCACTAAGTTTGGGGTTAATTTGTTATGCAGGAGCAGATAACAAATACAGGCTATAATAGCAGATAAATAGCAAACCCACCCGAGCACCCCATTTTCAGGAGAGCCTAGAGAATTCCCCAGAGGCTCCGCAGAGTGCCGGGATTCGGGGCCATTCCCTCGAGGCACACTGACA